AAATTAGCATTATTTTTGTACTATGCTTTAAAAAAAAGTCTTATTTTAAAACCAGTCGGCTTGATGTACTTTTTAACATTTCCCCTCTAAACACAAATCCATTATCACTCACACCACTTTTCATAGAAATACTGAAAAGAAGGATTTCTCTTTCAACCAGTTTCAAAGGAACAATGGAAAATAAAAAAGGGATTTTATTCAAGCTGTCTTAAGACACATCAGGTTCTGTAATGCTGCACATTTTAGTCTTTGTCTCATTGTTGAGATACAGGCCACCGTCCATCATGGATTTGAATTGTGTGGAATTCAAATGTGAGCTAATGCATTCTGAACATTCGTAGAACATCGGTTTGATGTTCTGCACCATTCAATGGGTTCGGTCTATGACCTTGTCACCACTTTTTTGTGCTATTCAATTGAATTCCCTGTCACTACGGTTTACAGTAGGGTCTAGAGCATGAGCCTTGTTACTCTTCACCCAACATTTCACAAATCTTTTATTCAATAGGAATATTTAACTAGTTTGTGACAGACCAGATTTGAAGTGAAGCACAAGTGGTCACATCCAAGCATAGCTTCACAATATGCATTTCTTTTAAAAAGGGGTTGATATGATTATATGATACAAAGTATAAACTGTGTCTTGTTTCTTTGTGCACCTTTTGATTTCACAGTTCATAAGATAAAACCAGAAGATAATTTAAGATGTGACCTGAAAACACAAAGTAAATGTTTCTCCTTTAAGCATATGAATCGGTTATGATGTATACTAATATAGCATGAAGCCCTGCATAATTTCACAACGTGATTGCATGAAACATGCTAGAAATATAAAACAATATCCCTTTTTAAGTTCCATTATACAGTCATTGGGATCGAATAAAAAATGTGCACCTGCTTGCCTGCATCCAAAAAAAATAGTTAGATATAGGTTCTAATGTTATTTTTTAACCTTTTTCCTTGGTTCTTTTTATTTTTGTGTTTATTTGCTAAATTCTGGCATGTCGCTATTGACTTGCCTTGCACTAAAAGTTGGATTGGATTGGTTTGGATCAATATGCCCACACTATTGTGACATGCACGTCACGACTAATCAATAACAGATAAGAATTGACGTGATCAGGCCAAATCAAATCAAATTCAATTTGATTAAATGAAACCCTAAGACGACAGTATGCATTACGCTGTCCGAATTCAAAACTAGGATTCTATCTGCACCCATCTCTGTTTGTGGCATTGACGTTAACACCCTTTAAACGCCAGTCACAACGCGAGACGACCGGTGTAAACAAAGCCAAGACGTGCATTTGTCCTTTCATGTGGAGAACGAGCTTGTACTAGATTGCCACTGCAAGTTGCCAGCACTTACAAAACAAAACTTTTGATTTGACATTAGTCCAACTAAAACAAGGGGTCTTGTCTCATACAAGGGAAAAATACGGACCGTGACATGATTGGTGCTCCATGTACTGTTTTTTGGACTGCAAATGCTTGTCTCGTTCTAAGCAAAAGAATTTGACAAAAAAAGAAAACTAAAGTTACCATGCATTAACCAGAATGACATGTTGTACAATTGATGTATCTATCTTTATTTAAAAATTATTTGACCAGGAGCCCCTCTTGAGATGAGCTCATCTCGTTTTCAAGAGTGTCCTGGCCGACCAGTAGGCAGCAGGTAAATTCCTCATGACGATCCAGATTTTCCCCCCTCACATCTGAAACGATCCACAGGCTTAAGGCAGCCAGCATGCGTTCAGTACACCCAGTGGACCTCAAAACCAAGGTTAAATCAAACTAATAAAACGCCATTGTAAGTAAAAACAAGGTTGCATGCTATTGTTAAAGTCAAGGCAAGTAATTTTTATGTCATGTTTGGGCATTTATCCTATGTAACTGTCTTTATAATTATAAATGCATGCATACTATTTGATCAGTTCTAGAAATTCCAAAAGATGTGCTTCACTTAAGGTTTTTACTGCTTGTTGTGATGATGTTGCTAAACACACACAAAATGCTTCATTCTGTTTTAAT